TGATTGGCCCAGGGCCACCAGCTTCCTTGACTAGTGCCCCCAGCTGTCTGGTCCCTGAAAAGGCCATCTGAGTCTGTCATCCTGATAACCAGAGGTCCTAGAAGGAGGGTGGTTGTGGCCTGAGACACGCAGTGCCATTTGAATTTCTGTCAGTCCTGAGAACTGTGAAGAATCCAGGTCCTGGAGGGAGGGCAGGAAAACAATAATGTTTTTGCACTTGACATTCAAAGGTGATTTGTCTGCCAGCCTTTCAGAGGATCCTTTTCCCTGGGACCAGTCTCCCCTTGGAGTTGTCTCCAGTCAAACAAAAAAACAAATGAGAAAAAGCTTTCAACCCTTTTCTTTCAGTTCAGCTATCTCTGGGCTCAGATTTTGGCCCTTCCTTCTGGTTGTATATGGTTCTTCTAAACTAAGGAGCTCTGCTTCCTCAGCTGAGGCTGGGGGGTGGGGTTGTGCATTTCACCATTTAAGGGCTTGTTGAAAGTCTGACCCCAGCACAGGCCCGTGCAAGCGCCAAGGACACAGAGCCCTTTCTCACTCATCAAGAAATCTGGATAAGTGGCCACAGAATGGAATAGCGTGTGCTCTAGGATCAGCATGCACTAAGGAAGTGCTCTAGGGTCAGCTAGGAGGGAGCCCCCACTTCTGCCTGGCAGGTCTGGAAGGTCAGTGCCCTTGGTTAGAGTTGGGCCTTGAAGGATGAGAAAATTTTCAGGGGGGCGGGGGAGGCGGGCAAAATCAGGCATCGGGAACAGCATGATAGTGGCATGGCCTTCCAACTGGCCTTCTGGCCTGATCCCACCGCCACCCATGGGTTTTTTTCTTCCAGGAACAGAAAGATTTTAAAATGCAAGCCATGTCAATCACTTCCATCTTTAAAATCCTTCAATGTTTGCCGTCGTTCCTAGAAAAAAAAAAATCCACATCCTTATCAGGGCCCGTCTCAGCAGGATCCTCTCTCCCTCCACAGTGTTAGAACCACGCTAGCCTTCTCTGACGTCTTCCAGGCTCTTTCATGCCTCGGGGCCTCTGACCTTGCTATTTATTTCCTCTGCTCTTTCCTGCTGTCTTTATTCTGCTAACTCCTCATCTTGCAGGTGGCAGCCTCCAGATCATGGCCTCAGAGCCCTGCTATCCTCTATGGATTTATCCTCCTTATGATTTGTAATTATTTATTTGTAAACTTGTTTAGCCTCGAGGTCGGGGATTGGACTGGGTCTGTTTTCTTCCCTATGGCATCCCTGGCATGAAGTACAGTAAATGCAGTGACTGACACATTACACATGGCCATAAATATTTGTTGAATGAACGAAAGCACATGTTAGTTTCTGGCCATACAGTGTGGCTGGAGGAATAAAGTTTTTCAAACTGCATCATGCTTCACCATCCATTAGCAGGGTGTGAAATCAATCTAGTGGATGATGTCCAGCATTTAAAAAAAAAATGAAATAGAATAGAATAAAAATAATCAGAGTACACTGAGGTAGGGGATGCTGTGGAAATTGTGTGGTTATGTATGTGTGCAATTGTAGGTCACGATGTAAAATGTATTTCTCCAAGAACAGCCAAGATAAATCTGAAGCAGAAAAACAAAAGGGAGGACTTGCCCTGCCAGAGATCTGGACTTGGCATGACACTATAGAAATCAAGACAATGTGGCATTGGAGAAGGGACAAACAAACTGACAAATTGAACAGAAGAGAAAGCTCAGACACAAACCCACACGACATGGCATGCCAGAGCAGTGGGGAAAGGAGGAAATGGAAAAAATAATTCCCTATGTGGAAAATTGGATTCCCACCTCACACATATTTTTTTAAAAAAAACCAACCCCCAATAGACAAAAGACTTAAATGTCAAAAAAAAAAAAAACTTTAGAAGTCTTAGTAGAAAACATAGATGAATATCTTCCAGACCTTGGGATAAGCAAAGATGATTTAAACAAAACACAAAAAAGCATTGAACATAAAGATTGCTAAATCTGACTGTGTTACAGTTAAGAACTTTGGTTCATAAAAAGATATCTTAAAGAAAGTGGGAAGGCAGGTTACAGACTGGGAGCAGAGAATCAGGATGCACACCCCTGGCAGAAGTTAGTGTCAAGAATCGCAGGAGCACAAGAGCACACAGAAACGTGGCAAGAGCTGCGAGCGGGCAATTCATGCAACAGGAAGCAGGTGTGGCCAGAAAACACGTGACTTGTTCAGCATCATCACTGACCAGGAAAATGCAAATCAAGGCTAGGATAAGTACCATCTTATACCTTTCCAACCGGCACAAAAATAAAAAGAGACTGGTAATACCAAATGTTGGACTTTTGGGATCATTTACACACTGCTGACAGAATGGCAAATTGGGACAATGACTTTGGAAAGAGTTTGGCTTTTTCTCCCAAAGCTGAATATTCACCTGGTATATAACCCAGCAATTCCACTTCTGGGCACATTTCCATGAGAAACTAGCCCATGCATATGGGAGAAGACATGCACGAGGATCTTCATAGAGCACTGTTTACAGCAGAAACAACCCAAATGCTCTTAGTGGGAGATGATGAAGAAACCATGGTAGAGGGGCCGGCCCGGTGGCGCACTGCTACAGTGTGCCGCTTGGGAAGCGCAGTGGCACTCCCGCCGAGGGTGCGGATCCCACATACAGACCGGTCCCGCTCACTGGCTGAGCGAGGTGCGGGCGCAACACTGAGGTTTGCGATCCCGTTGCCGGTCCCGGCCCGGTACGGGCGCGACACTGAGGGTTGCGATCCATGGTCGGACACGAAAAAAGACAAAAAAGGAAAAAAAAAAAAAAAAAACCATGGGAGAGCCACCCGGGGGAATATTATACAGCAGTTGAAAATGAAGTATAGCAACAAGCCGTAATATGGATAAACTTTAGCAATGTAGTATTAAATGAAAAAAAAAAAAAAAAACCATGGGAGAGCCACCCGGGGGAATATTATACAGCAGTTGAAAATGAAGTATAGCAACAAGCCGTAATATGGATAAACTTTAGCAATGTAGTATTAAATGAAAAAAAAAAAAAAAACCCAAAAGATTCCATATATGTTACAGACAACTAAAATAAAGATATTTGGGCTGGCCAGTTAGCTCAGTTGTTTAGAGCATGGTGTTATAACACTAAGGTCAGGGGTTCAGATCCCCTGACCTGCCAGCACCCCCACCCCCCAAAAAAGGTATTTACTTTCAAGAATACATAAAACTTTTTTTTTAATGGAAAAAGAAAAGCAAGCAAGCTGTAATCACAGGATTCATGATGCCTATTTCTTCTAGTTCCAGCACAGAGGGACCATATGGCTGGATGTGGGTTATCGTCAAAATGCTAGCTTTTACTTCAGGTGGTGTGTTCACAGGTGCTTACTACATTACTTAAAATAACTAATTCAATAGCTAAATAAAAAATGGGTTTTGAATAGATCAATGAGGAGAGTGAGTCATAGGACAAAAATTATGATTAAGTGAATGCTATGTACTTAAGGGCCAAAAAAAACCATAAAAATAAAATGTATTTCTTCCCATAGGATAAAAAAAAAAAAAAAAAAAGCATAAAAGCAAAAGCACATGATGCATGGGAATGCCGAGAGCATTGGGGACATACAGGGGCTGCAGGGATGTGAGGGGTGCTGGGGGTTGCCACGTGCAGGTGCCCTAGGGACACACAGGGGACATGGGGATGCACGGACGCTGGGGGTTGGGACACGCAGCATGTGCAGAGATGCCCGGGGTGAGTAGGGGCCTAAAAAGTTGCCAGGGCGTCTTTGGACTTGCTTTGTGGAGCAAAGCACACAGCTGTTTTGCCTAATCTAGCCTGAGTCCAAATACCACCAGGCGATTAGTTTCTGAGAGTAGCTGAGAGCCTGCTGTCCTTGTGCTGGCCTCCTTCCTCGTCACTGGCTGGCCCTTGGCTAGGCATGAGCTGCTTGCTTCTCTGGGGGTGTGGGTGGCTCCTGGGCGGGAGTTGAGGTTTAAACAAAGCCTCATTGCTTCCCAGGATTATCCAAATCTTGTGTGGACCCCGCCCTGCCCCACAGAGCAGGGAACCCCACCCCACCCCACCCAGGCAGGGCCAGGCCTTTTGGTGGCAACACAGGGCTGGGTGCTAGGGGCTGAGGACCTTGTTGTTGGTGGGCCCGTTCTGCTCAGTGCTGGTCTCCCATTGCTCTCCACCCACCCTGAGGTTCACTTGAGTAGAGACCCGGTAATCTCTAACCTGATGCTCTTGGCAGGTCTGTGTTGTCACCAGATTTCCAAGGATTTGGGGGTTGGTGGGGATGAAGGGAATTTTCCATCAGAGTTAGAAAAGAATTTGGTTAAATTAAAAAAATCATAAAAAATAAGTGTCTTCAGCATTTTGTTTTCACTTAAAACCTGTAAATGGAGAGCCAAGGACTGTCCTTGAGGGTGGCCTCCCATGGTGTTTGGGTGACTTTCTTGCACAAACTGCACCGGTCACGTCTCTCAAGTTCCTGTGGGCTCCCCATTTCCTTTCTCATCTCCCAAAGACCATGCGATGCTCCCTCCCCTCCCACCTCTTCCAGGTCTAAGTGCCTGAAAATGGGGCTAAATCCCCTTCCCAGAGTCCTTGAGATTTTCATGAACACTCAGCCCGGCCTTCCAAGAGCAGCCACCTTTTTGCAGTTGCTTTCCCCAGATCCCTACATGGTCAGAGGAAGCAGGTGTCCCACATTCCACAGGTGGGGATGCTGAGGCCCCAGCTGCTATGTGATGCATCTGAGCACAGAGCAGGGCAGCTGGGACTCGCCCACTCTCAGCCCCTTTCTGCCTCGGGGCCACGGATTCACGCTGGCATCTTAATTCTCCTGCAAACCTTTTGTGGTCTCTGAGCGCCAGTTTTGTCATCCATAGGAGTTGGTCCCGGAACTCCCACATTAGGCTGACATAAGCTGCACGTCCCTGGGCAGGGCTGCAGAGACCCAGCCGCAGCTCCTCATCCTGCCCCTCACTGTCCCTCCTCTTCCCCTCCAGCTTCACCTGGCTCTGCGGACACGTCCACCGGAACATCCTCTCCAAGTTCACGGGCCCGGCGGTGGAGCCATTTGATGAGGAGTTCCGCCACCTCTACGCCTCCTCCAAGCCTGTGATGGGGCTGAAGTCCCCCCGGCTGGACACTCCCCTGCAGCCCAGAGCAGGCCACAGTCCCCCCGATGGTCGCCTCAGTGGCAGCAGCTGCTCAGCCAGTGACCGCACATCCTCCAACCCCTTCAGCAGCCCATCGACCGGCAGCAACCCCCAGAACCAGAGTCTGTCCACGTCCTCCGGGCCTGGCAGTCCTCTGGCCCCAAACCCACCTGCACCCCCCAGGTTTCAGCCCTATCACAGCCCTTGGGGAGCCCTGGCTCCACAGGTCCCCTTCTCCCCCAGGCCCCACGATGGCCCACCTGCTCTCTACAGCAACCTCAACACCTACCGGCCCACGCGGCTGCAGCTTGAGCAACTTGGCCTGGTGCCCAGGGTGATCCACACCTGGAGGCCCTTTCTACAGGCCTCACCTCATTTCTGAAAGGGTCCCTTTCCCCAGCTCCCTTCCCAGGGCCACGGCTGGGTATCCTTGGATTTTCTGGCCCAAGGACCCCACCTCAATAACTAACAGCTTCCCTTAAACTAAAGGTACAGAGATGAAAGCACCGCCTATGTTTGAATGTGCCTAGTCCTGGGACCATCCACTTGCACACCCTCACCAATCCCTGGGTTCCCCTTTCTAGTTTGGCTGATGCAGCACATTCCAGAAGGTTTCAGGGAGGTGGAGGGGAGAATGGAGCTAGGGGACAAAATCATGAAAACAGGGCTCCTGTCTTCCAAAGAGCATCCAGAAATTTAATATTAAAGGTCCCTAAATCTCTGTAATGTAAGAAGGGGCAGGTGCAGCCCAAGTTTTACAAATAGGTAAACCGAGGCACTGATAGGTAGATGGTAGGTGGATACTTCTGTTTCCCAGTGTCCAAGTATGGCCCACTCCCCAGAGATTCAGGAAAGAAAGATTTAGGAGAAGGTGTGGGAACATCCTGGATATTTCTGGGAAAGTTGGGGCAACTCCTCCTCCCTGGAAAGGCTAATAATACTGGGATATTCCTGGGCCGGATGAATTAGGGAAGAGGCCTCAGAACCTGCGTCTGTAAACTGTGTGGCTCCCTTTGAATGTGCAGGCACTAGGGATCGGCAAGGCAGTTGAGCACACTCAGGTCCTTGCTTCAAAGAGCGCTGGGCTGGCCTGGAGATCTCTGGAGTCTGGGCTGGATCTAAGGCCTTGAGTCGTCCGGGTCTGGGAATGGCCCCGCAGCGACGTCTAGGGCAGCCTGGAGCGACCCTGGAGGGGTCAGCCGCCCCGCGCAACCAGCTGTCACCAGATCCAGGCGAGCTCCTGAGGACGGAATGGCCAGGGCTCACGGCCCCATCCTTCGTTCTCGCGCAGGGCCCCGGCCGCTGTCTGTCCGGGCGCGGCTGGGTCCTGAGGCTCAGCCCCGCGTGGTGCGAGGAGGAGACGGAGGGTGCGTCGTCAGCCCACCGTGGGAGGTCGGGGACATTCCCGGAGAGAGAAGGCAGGTGCCGAGGCCCCGGCGCCATCCACGTCCCGGTTTCCGTGCCCTCTGCTGCCACCCCCCTCATCTCAGCCCATGTCTTCGCTGTCCCCGGTTTCGGCTCCGTGGCCTCTGCGGTGGCCGCTGGTCTCTGAGCGCACGTGGCATCCCTCTGTCTCTGCCCAGAACTCGCGGCGAAGGCAGGGCCACCCTGGCTCTCGTTTGCTTTTAAACTGTGTCCCCTTCCCCACCTTTTTCTCCTCAGTTCCGAAAAAAACAGCAGCGCACCCGGGTTCCCGCTGGTTTCCTCAGCCCTTTCCTCAGCGACGCTGAGACGAGGGCAGACGTGCAAAACTGGGCCTCCCGGTCTGCTGAGAAGGCCTGACGAGGGAAAAGCCCGCCGGGGACACCAGCGCCCCGAAGCCAGCGTCCCCGCGCCCCTCCGACTGCGCCTGCGCGGCTCGAGTGCCGGCCGATCCCCCCGCGGCCG